CGGTGCCGCTCCCCCTACATGAGCCACCAGGCTGGGCCGCAGGGAGCCTAGGAGGGTGCTGCCGTGCGCCAGCGGGGTCTGGCCCTGCCCTCAGGCCCTCAAGCAGCAGAGCAGCGCATGGACCCCCCCGCACGTGGACCCTGCTCGGACAAGCCTGCCCCCCAGCACGGACTGGGGCCTATGGGGTAGGGCGAGGCTGCGCTGCCTACTCTATGGGTGCCCAGGCAGGTCTGCAGCCTCCAGGGCCAGGCGCCACCGGCACCACGGAGAGGAGACACACCCAGGCCCCTCGCTCCGCAGCAGCCCCAGCTCCAAGCAAGCTCAGCGGGCACCTGTGGGTGCGGCCACGTGGGCAGTTGGATCTGGGATTGACGGCAGCCTAGGCCTTGTGACCCACGAGCCGCCCCGCCTGCCGGTCAGCACAGCCCTGCAGCAGGCTCGGCTCAGCTGCTACTCTGCGACTGGCGCTCAGGCCCTTCCCAGGGGGCTCGGGGCCGCCCCCCTGCCCCTCCCAGCAGACTACGCCCAGTGCACGCACACGTGTCCACCCGGGGAGGGGGCACCCGCATGGCCACGCACACCCCACAATGGCCACGCAGCACACACGCAGCTGTATGTAGACACGCGCACGCACACAAGCGCTGGCTACGGCCACACAACCGGACCTGTGCCCAGGCTCCCTGCACTGGGAACTCGGAAGGGCGGTTGTGTCCCCTTCCCCGGCCCAGGCCAGCCCGGCGGTGCCACGCAGGCGGGGGAGTGAGGGAGAGACAGAGAGAGCAGCCTCCAGGGAGGGGAGGGACTCAACAAAGCCACCAGCGGAGAGGGAGAAAAGAAAAGCAACGGGGCAGAGAGAAACCTCCATGCAAGGGGCTCTGCTTTGGCATCTGTCTGTCCGCCTGGGCCCAGCTGAAGGCTCCAGGCTCAGGAACGTGGACAAGAGCGGCTCGCGGCGGCAGCCCAGCCGGGCCAGACAGAGCCAGGCAGGCAGGCGCACAGCGGGGACAGACGGGAGCCGGGGATACCATGCCAGTGACTATGTACAGCGAGAGACCCAGCGCTGCCCCACCCCGGCCCTCCTGCTCAGCCGCTCTCCTCGGTCCTGGCCTCGGGGCTAGTCTTCATTTTTAAATAAGGTAAAATATTATGTCCAACATAAAAGGTTTTGACATTGCCTTTACTTATGGCGGAGGAGGGGAATTTCTTCTGGGGCAGAG